TCTGATAATTCTTTGGTATGATATATAGATCTTGGATGTATATAACTTTTGGCTTAATTCAAGCTTCAGATCGCATGAGGAGTTTGATTATAACATCAAGCGCAATCACTCTCATTCAGCTATTCTTTTTTTTCCCCTTTTTTATAATAAATAAACTATAATCATATTAGTGGAAGAATTCTTTCACAGTATAACACTATTTAGTTTTGCGAAACACAATGTCAATGAAAGTTGAGTCATTTTATTTTATTACACTTTCATAATGTAAATCAATGCAGGAGCCAGGAAGTACTAGAATAAAGTACCATGATGTAAATTGATGACGTGATAATTACATTACATTTACAGTATAATGGTATAAACCATTATCATAGATAATCTAAAAGCACATAGACAATATATGGTAGTGTGTTAATGTTTAAGCCGATAAGCTAAAGAATAATATCGTCACATGAGTTTAGCCATTTTAGCTGCAAAATCATTGCTACATTAATATTGTGATCAATTCAATGAGAATTAATGACTATAAATAAATGACTTAAATTTATTAAAAAAAATATAAAAAACGTTGATATTTGCTAATGAATTGATTCTGAAACCGTAAAGGCATTAATATTGTTCAAATTGAACAAAATTAATCCAAAAAATTTAAAGTTGATTTGATATTTCTGTAGAAATCATATGACAGAAAACAAACCGTTGTAAATAAATGATAAGTTACTTTCTGAAAATATCACAATAAATACTCTCTGTCCCAAAATAGTTGTAACGTTTGAATCTTCACATTTAGTACAATTTGTATCCAAGAACTGAAAATCCAAAAGTAACAATTACAATAATCATAACTAGATGCTTGGCCCGGGCATCTGTCCGGGCGCCCCTCTACTTTAATTTTGTGTTAATAGATAAATGAATTCTTAATTTGAAAAAAATAAAATAGCTACACATTTGTTTTTTTTTTCCTTTTTTTAGCCAAAAATAAAAATAAAAATAAAAAAATCATCTGCCAAAGGAAAAAAAATATTGAAAAGTACAACGATACAGAAATCATACAAAAGAATGTGGAGTAATAAAGGGGATAAGTTTATGGGCAAATTTAAATGCTATTTTAATTTGATTGATAAATGATAAATGTTAGGAATTAAAATTGTGTAGCTATTTTTGTAAAGTAGCTTTTGTTTCTCCGGATAAGAATTTTTTTTTCTTTTAAAAAGGGATGACACGTGCCAGAATGGTTAATGCAATATGGTATATTTGGAGCCAAAAATTTTTAATAACAAATTGCCACATCAACATCTTGTATTCTGCTTTAATAGGGTAAAAGGGATTTAATTTGATTGATAAATGATAAATGTTAGGAATTAAAATTGTGTAGCTATTTTTGTAAAGTAGCTTTTGTTTCTCCGGATAAGAATTTTTTTTTCTTTTAAAAAGGGATGACACGTGCCAGAATGGTTAATGCAATATGGTACATTTGGAGCCAAAAATTTTTAATAACAAATTGCCACATCAACATCTTGTATTCTGCTTTAATAGGGTAAAAGGGATAATAATAAATGTGAATAATTTACCCGGAGATGGAATACTTTTCGAAAGAGTTATTCAAATTAAGATAGAGCAAGAATTCTTCTTCGATTGAAACTGTTAGGCCCCTAATAATAAGAGTTCATCACAGAGTAAGAATTCGGGCTTCACTTAGGTTTTCAGTTTTCACCCGAAAGGAAAAAACAATTCTCCAGAGCTATATAGCTCAATCTTCAATGGAATCGAGAAATGAGGGAAACCCAGTCGACCGAATTAGCTATTTACCAGAGTCAATCATTTGCCACATTCTTTCATTTCTTCCCACAAAATATGTAGTTGCAACCAGCTTCTTGTCAACGAGTTGGAGGCATCATTGGACTAAAGTTACCAACTTTGATTTTGACAATGAATTGTGGAGTAATAATGGCGAAGAGGGATCTCCTCCTTCTAATGCTTGGCTTCTTGATGGTGATAGTGATGATGACGATGATGATGATGTGCCAAAAATGAGTTTTGTAGACTTTGTTTACAAGGTTTTGCTTAATCAGAGTCCTGAGGTCTCCACGCACAGGTTTCGTCTCAAATTACTCAACTTCAAATTCCGATCTATTTATCTTAACACATGGATTAACACCGCGATTTCGCGGAATGTTCGAGTTCTTGATTTGGACTTTTGGTTTGATTTAGATGGTGATCATGGCTATGTAGGACTAGGATATAAGTTTCAGTTACCAGGGGCAATTTATACTTGTAGGACACTGGAGGTTCTGAAATTAGAAGGGTGGCCTATTCGTGTCAAAGTACCCCGCGTGGTTTGTCTTCCCAAACTGACAAAGTTGAATCTAGATAACGTTACATATGAATCAGATGAATCCATTTCAAACCTTATATCTGGTTGTCCACTCCTCCAATCTCTGATGATTTTAAGGCATCACAATGATAACGTGTTGATTTGTAAAATTTCTTCCCCTTCACTAAAACAGCTAGACTATTCCCATGAAGATTGTAGTAATAAGTGTGAGTGTAGTCATGGTCTTCATCTTAAGCTGATTATTGATACACCCGCACTTCACCGCATCCATATAGATGATCATGTCTCGGAGGAAATAATTTCTGTGCAACCCTTAGCATCTTTGAAGAAAGCGACTATTGATGTGCCATTCTACTCCGCAAGAAATAACTCTGGCCTTTATGCATGCTGCTTGTCGTGTTGATTGTCTGTTGTTATCATCCAGAACAACGGCAACTCTCCTCTCGACCAGCTCCACCAACAAACTTCTTGCAAGTTTTGAGAGACTAGCTAAATTGTCTCTCCAAATTGAGTGTTGTGATCAATTGAGCGATGTCTTTGGTTTGATTGATTCCTGTACTTCTTTAGAGTTACTCGGCATCTGGAACCACGGAAGTCGTCTGCGAACTCTCCCTGAGTGTTGGAGGGTTCCTTCTCCTGTTCCCAAATGCTTGTTATCGAGTGTCACTAGATTTTTTTATTTGGGATTTGAAGCATGGGAGGATGAGATGGCCATGCTCAAATTTATTTTGAATCATGCTCATGTGATGAAAAGTTTTGAAATAAGAACCACTGTTGATTGGGAACCTTATACCATACAAGATTTTGAGAAGATTTTCATGTCCGCCACAGTTTCTCCAGCTTGTGAAATATCAATTTCTTGAGACGGTGACAATTGATATTTGATGTTTACATCTTGGAAGACGTCAGTACTTTATGAAAAATCTACCATGAAGTTGAAATGTTTATTTTCTGGAAATATCTTTTGGTATCTGTAATCCTTTGTTCTGGTTTAAACACATTGTAAAATCGTGGTGTATGACTTCTTCAGGTTTGTAGCTTTTGATAGTCGAATGTACGATTAATTTTAAGGGAAGAAGCTATGTTAGTCTTGTTGCAAAACCATGGAAGTCCCTTCACTTCAGCCTGTACTTTCATTTTCTCATCATTTGACGAATCGTTGCCTATCTTTTTTTGTTTTTTTGGGTAGTAACAGATATATAAACATTAGCAAATACTCTTCGTGACGTCTCAAAAAGATAAATCTATTTTTATTGTACTATATATTTGTTCAACAAAGTAAATTATTTTTCTGACATGAAAAGAATACAAAATCTTAACAGATTACATAAAAGCACGGGTTGCGACTTATAGTTAGCTGGCTACTTTGTCACATAAACGTTGGAGATATCATTAGACTAAATGAACCGACTTCCACTTTGATGATGGACTGTGGCTTGATAAAACAAGTGATTATGATTTCGTCGACTTAGGTTGACTCTGTTTTGCGAATTAGTCAGAACTTTGATGTTTCCATGAACAATTACATCTCACTATAAACGATCTCGGCTTCCCATATGATTATCTCAACGCATGCATCGACATGAATGTCGTCCGTAGTGTCTTCCGGTTGTAAAGTATCGATTCATTGATATGGTTTCATTCAGACGCTTAGGATCACGTCAGTACTTTCTCAAAAACCTTTCCTACATTACTTGGCAGTTTTATTTTCTGGAAAGTCTGTCTTTTTGGGATCTGTCTTTCTTTGTTCTCCTTTGAAGCCATTCTACATTTGTGGGGATTGTTGCTTAATGTGCTTGTATGGCTTCTTCAGGGCCACAGTCGATCATCAAAGTGGAAGTCGATCGGTTATTTTAGTCCAATGATATCTCCAACTTTTGGACAAAAGGCTAACAGAAAGAAAGACGTGATTTATAATCAACTCTGTTAAATGTCCTAGAAAAGTAGCGTAACAAAATGAATTGTTTTTCTAGAAGATCGAGAATATTTACTAATGCTTACATATCTTTAAACATTATTAGAAGAAAGCAAAGGTCGAAAGATCATCAGAAATGTGATAGTATAGTATCTACCATTTTAAAACAATTGTACGTCGACATAGAAGAATCACCCCAGTCGATCAAATGTGAGGAAACAATCAAAATCTCAATGCAGTTTAGATAACAAGAAAATCGCGCAATGAAGTTTAAAACCGACGACAAAAGGTAAGCCACTAATACTACTATTAATCAATATATGCATACATGATGGCTGACGCTTCTAATGAAGCAGGCTGAAACCAGAAAAACCAATCCACACTCGGATGGATGGGATGGTTAAAAAGCTTAACATATGGACAGTTCTCCCGAGTCAACAATACTACGTTAGTTCAGAAATATTATGGCACATTCATGGCAGCTGACTAGTCTTCATCACTGGATAGATCAGGCCGGGCATCTAGGCAGCACCAAGGTAGACGACAGCTCTCTTTTTCGGCTACTGATACGAGCACACGTTTCAATTCGCAGAGGCGCACCACCCTCCTTCGTTGGGAGGACACGGATTCAAAACACATTTTAAATCACATCTCAAATTCAAACCAAAAACTAAAACAAACTATCATCCATACAAGACCTAACTCTTCTTCTCAAGTTGTATTGGAAAAACGTATTCTCTTCGTCTCAAAATTATTTTTCAGTTTGAATATTAAAAAAAAAAGGGTTGAGATGGAAGCTGTAATTAAAATTTAAAATTATTGAATTATTATACAGTTTTGACTTACGCGCCGACTATATCTTATGGCGGTTGTGCAGTCTACGGCATATATACTCAAAAAAGTCATAAATCATAAAATCGAAAGTCCTCCAATGGCGGTTTCCTCCTCTAACGTCTCCGATTCTGGCAGAATTGGCCATGCCCCCAACCGGAAAAGGAAGGAAATTAGCGAAGCTGAGATTGCTAGCTACTTGCGCAAGAAGGCCTCCAAACAAGCGGCAAGAATTGCTGAGAAATTGAGGACCCGGGATTCGAGTAATTCAGATGATAAATCCGATGGGAAATTCGTTTGGACGAAGAAAATCGAGCAGGATATCATCCACGGCGTGCCAATCGGTTGCTTTTCTCCGAAAGCAGAGGGTGTGAAACAGAGGGAAAGAATTGAGGAATTGGAGAGGCTTAGGAAAAGGAGGGACGAAAGGGCTTTTTTAAGGGCACAGCAGGAAGAAGCGGCGGCGGAATTGGGCCGGGAGCGTGCACGATCGGAATTTGAGGATTCGGAGAAAAAAGACGAAATTTTTTTCTACCAGCAATGCAGGCTGAAGTCGAAGATTCGATTGAAACTTGGTAGGCCGAAACCAATTGACATCCTTGGTGAGTATCTCAATCCATCGTCTTTTGATGAATTGTTATGTTCTTTAGTAGACCTAGGTAAGGAACCATGGAAGGTGTTAGAGGGTTTAACTCTTGACGAATTGGAGGAGCTTCGTGATGAAATTAGTTTGTATATTGAATTTGATCATGAGTCAGACATACGTGTAGAGTTTTGGAAGGCTGTTTTGGTGATTTGTGAGTGGCAATTAGTTGATGCTAATCGAAGGGGAGCAGTGAATGAATTTGGTGTTGGTGGAGAGGGAAGAATTTCTTCAAGCATTGTAGAAGAGGTTAGGAGTGAACTGAATGGTAAATCCTGCAGTGAATTGGAAGCTCTTGAGGTTCAAATTATGGCACAAATGCGATCTGGCCAAGCTAAGTTGGTGGAATATTGGCAAGAACTTCTCGAATACCTTTGCTTCTATAAAGCTAAAGCTTGTCTCAAACAAATTCACACAAACATGATGCGTAACTGCAAGCATCCTCTGCCGAATCTTGAGAGTTCATTGATTGTTCGAGGAGGTGGTGGTCGGTTGAGTTCCGAGCCCCTTGAAGATTCTGGAGATTTGGAGAGGAAGGTTTCGAAATCAATGGGGTCTATGGAGGACGGTGATGCTTTATTTGGGACTAATGAAGAAGTTAGACTCAGTTCTACGGTGGTGCCAGACAGGAGTGACGATGAGAAATACAGTCCAAGGAAACCAAAGTACCTCAATCGTGTTCATTCTGGGTACAGCTGGAATAAATATAACAGGACTCATTACGACCACGATAACCCACCACCAAAAATGGTTATAGGATACAAGTTCAACATTTTCTATCCAGATCTTATTGACAAATCCAAATGTCCAACGTATCTTATTGAAAAAGATGGAGACAGAACTGATACTTGTATCTTGCATTTTCAGGCAGGTCCACCTTATGAAGACATAGCATTTCGAATTGTTAGCAAGGAATGGGAGCTATCACCAAGGAAAGGGTTCAAATGTACATTCAATGGTGGTGTTCTTTCTTTATATTTTCACTTCAAACAGTTGAGATACCGCAGGTGATGGTAAAATCTGCAACCAGGTCCAAAAGAAAAATGATCACAAGAACTCCTTAATTCATATCTTCTGAATTTTCTTGTTGTTTCTCTGTTACAAGCAATTGTATTTTTTCTGGCTTGAAGAACACTTTGTGCTTATTTTGGGGTTTGGTTTCATGGTTTGACGTTTACATTTAAACATTACCTTTGGTAGAGATTTATTTTAGTTTCTAATTTCGGCATGATTCTCTTTACTTGTTTTTGGCGTTGCCTAATATGCATTATTGGAAACAATAAGTCTCTTGCTGTCCTGGTTCATTAGAAACAGCAGTAATTTTCTATGCATTGTATGCCTAGAAGTAGTATCGCATGTATTGTCTAAGTAGTTTTTTTTTCGCTCTTAATTCCAGGAACTTAATTCACGATATGAATTACTGAAAAAAAAATAATTTTTAATAGGACTTTAACTGCCACAATTGTAGATGTATACTTATATCATATGCACATATATTTTGTTTTACTTCGATTAAGTGACATTGAGTTGAGTTTCAATTAAAGGGTGATTGGTAAACCAGGATTGTGTCATTCAAAGGCCAAAACCAATTTGAAATCCATCAACTTAGTCTTTTTTTATTTTTTGTAGGCTGTCTCTCTTTCTTAGTACTTTCCCTTTTTCTTAGTATTTTTTATGGCGCATTTATCCATATCCCATGTGATGGGACGAGAGATTGTTGTTCTTTTTGCTGTTAATGATCTTGTCAAAACTTTTTTCATTTAGAAGATTTATGGTGGCTGTGGTTTATTATGATGCCTACCTCTGGAAGAGTTAAGTATACCTTGACGCATCCTTAGAGGTGTTCTTATGGTGCGAAAACTTTGGTTCAGTAGGTTGTTAGAGCCGTTGACATGTCCTGAGTTGCAGAAACAGCTTTTTCAGAAATATGAGGCACGCTGGGTATATATATCCCTTTACAGAAATGGACGGTAAGGCTTCGTGCACTTGGCTGAATCCTACACTTGTGTGACCTGCTTTTTGCTTATTGGCCTTCTATCCACACCCCCAATAATAAAAAAAAGAAATTTCTAGTCAAGTTTAGCTGCAGATGTTGATAGGTTCTTTTATCTTTGGGGGAAAAAAAGATTAAATGAAAAAGGACCATTCAGAGATGTTTGATTCCAAGAGAAGTTTTCTTTTCAATGTGTATTGTAACGAAAAAAAAGAAAAAAAGAAACACCCAAGAAGATATAGTTTATATTATTCACAGCAGACATTGTAAACCTGATTATGATGTACTTGGAAATGAACACACAGCTGTTTCCCTGATCACAATGTGCTCTACCAACAATGTTTAGGGAAATAGTCTTCTTTTAATTTCAGACTCATTTGGTGGATGAGCTAAGAACATAATTAACCAATACGACTGTACATTTGTAATGCTCGGTTAGTATGTCAATAACATACTTCAGACTTCCAGTTTTTCTACCGTGACCTGGTTCAAGATGATCCAGAATCACTTAAAATAACTTGGATAACCATCCTTACTGAATGTTTTATTGTAGGACATACTTTCAACCATAGAGTTTAGATAACTGCCTTCTGCTGGTAAATGGTTGTAACAGAAATACAGTATAATGTGTATCTAACTCTCAGATACCTTTTGGGATGTCCATGAGCTGTAGAAATTCTACCCTGTAAATGCTTGTGTAAATTTTATTTTTTTTTTTTAATTGAAAAGAGTGTTGAATTTTTTTTTACATTCCATAACTTTGCTCCGTATTTTTCATTTTTTGTTTATTCTTTTCTTGCTTTAGCTTTGTTGATGATGTTAAACAATACGGTAAAAAGTAAATGTTTTGGGAATATTTATTAGAGTGAAGCCAGGTCGATAGGTCAGAACTGGTTTTGTCTTCTTCTTCATGGAGAACCTAATAGCTTGTCCATTAGCTTTTGTTGTATACTTGATAATATCACAGAATGTGGAACTGGCCACAGGTTTTGATCATATTTGCGGTCCTGCTATCTGTTATGGAGAATCCATGTAGCCTCATGAGAATTGCATCAAATGCTGGCAGAACTGTTCCAGCTAGCTTACTGTAAGACAAATGTGTGACGCCCCTTCTAACCATGTGATGGCTTTTGTGTTAGGCGTCTTTTCCAAAGTAAATGGAGCATGCTGCACTTTGGAACTGGGTAGTTGAATCCCTCATAGTTATTGGATTAGTGCAAGGTTATGCTCGTTTTAGTTTTTTCTTAGGATACATTTAGCGCAGATAAATTCCAGTTTACTTTGAGCAGGGAAAGAACGTGGTTTTAACAAAGAGGCACTGGGATACTAGTCTAGTCTTGTACTGGTGGCTCTCTTTTAGTTCAACACAAGGATTTATTTATTTTTTATTTTTTATAGTTCAATACAAGGATATGATTTAACTTGTGTGAAACTTGTTCTACTTCTGAGTTCTGATATCACAGGTTCATCCCTCGGTCTCATTTTATGCTGCTCTTTGTACCGCATATCGTTTCAATTAAAATTATTTTAAAGTTTCTCATTTGAACCAAAGCAAGCCCATTGATCTTTACCCTTTTTTTCTTTTTCTTTTTTTTTTGTGACAAGATTTGAACTTTACCTTGATTTTTAAAAGTCATTCTAGATTTGTAGTTTGCTTAGTTGTGTAACTTACATACCTTAGGCCATACTGGACCAGGTTGGAACTTGTAACTGTAAAACATTTATAAAAAACCAGCAAATGGAAATATACTCCCCCTGCGTTGCGAAAAATTTTGACGCAGTGAAGCCTCCGAAAAGCTATGTAAATTTACATTATTTCAGTGGAAAAGAACCAACTTGAAAAACCCAAAGGGCAGTGGAACCTCTCAAAAGCTATCTAAAACATTTCAGTGGAAAAGAACTAACTTGAAAACCCCAAAGGACAATTATGAAATTTTCTTTTTCTTTTTCGATGTATTTTTTTCGGGTAAACTATATGATGAGTAAAGTTGTGTGCCGAAACTGATACGCTAAACATATTGGGTTAGAATCTAGAAACAAAATCTACGGCCATAACATCCAGAATTCAAAGAAAAAGAGAGCAAAGGCCTTCCACAAAACTGTCAATCTTAATTTCCCGATTACCTCTGGACCTCCATTTCAGGAATACAAAATTGTAGTCTACCAAAAAGTAGACTGATACGTTTTCATCATCAAGAAGACTACCACACACACCTCATTTTACTGACAATAAGTGCTAAAAAAATAACAATTACTGGAATTACACAAACTGCAGTAAGTGCCAATATAGCACATTCCAATAACATTATTTCTTCTAAAACCTAGTGCTGCGACTGATTTTATCATTGATGCCCGTGGTTTCTCCACCATATGGACCCGTTGGCTTTCTCATATCAGGCCTTAGTCCCTGAAGACGTTTCTTGGCCTTATCGTGCTTCAGCTGAGAGGTAGAGAAGAGAAGAGAAGGTCAACAATGTGTTTACCTTAGTTTATCGTTACCAGAAAACTGCAGAGTCACAAGAATATTTAAGTACCTTGTACTTCTTCCTTGGATTTTTGGTGAGCTTGTTCCGGGAACGGGTCAATCCTCTATTCTTTTGAATCTGAAAATTGAGACCAGGCATAAATGGTCGCAGAGTTTGCAACAGAATAAAAATCGAGACCAAAAATAGGACAAATAGATTCTTACTTGATAGCTAATCTGGCGCTTCCCATCTACAAGTGATTCTGGCAAAGATGAAGGCTGAGGCACCCTGCAGGGAGAAAGAATATATTACCAGGCAACTTCTCCAAAAGAAGACAATGAAAAGGCAATTTAAAACTAAACTTAGACAAATATTTTAACATGTACTACAGCAGATCACACAATAGCTGGTTTCATTGAGCTGACGCATTTATGCACCGAAAAAGAAAAAAACCAAAAGAGGAAGAAAAATGAGCTTCTGGGGAGAAAAAAATATTTCTTGTCCATAATTTGTTGCATTGTGAATGCCACTCTAAAATCCCTGAAAATCAATGAATTGTATCTTTACAAGTTTCATATATGTTAGCAAATATCCCAGGATAAATTTAGCCCAATTGACAATGACCCTATCTACGAACAAATCATATATATATATATATAAGAAAGAGCCGAGCATAAATATTTGTGCTCACACTAGATGATCAACAGGAAACTACCAATAAAGCAATTCCGTAGGTGAGACAAAATCACATGACGAGACAAAGAAGTTCCTAGAACAGCGAAGCACATCATGTGACGAGACAAAGAAGTTCCTAGAACAGCGAAGCACATCACATGGACAATAGTTCATTAGAAAAAATCTGGACCACAGTTATAAAATAATGCCAGTTTACAAACTGAAGCAGAGTATACTTTAAATTATAGAAGCTAGACATCCACAAACTCTTCTCCCAGCATTTAGTACATTATGGTCAAGAATTTCAAAGCTACCATTCATATTATAATTAAAAAGATAAAGATCCAACCTCGAATACATCTGTGATTTTTGTGCAAGCTTCGTGAGATGTCCTTCTTCTGCTTGCTTGTAAAACTCCAAGTCTGATTCTGATTGACTATCCAAATCGGTGTCAGAATCACCATCACTTTTAGCTGTTCCAGGTATATCATCTACATCATCCAAAGATTTGATTCCTGCTCCAGCCAAAACTCTCAGTTCATGCTCTCTACGTCTTTCTCCTATATCATCTCTATTCGGCAGATCATCACCACCCAAGACAACCTGACCAAACAAAGGATATTACTAACACAAATACTGAGTTTGATAGTTTTCTTTAAACCTTTAGTAAGTAAAAGAAAAACATGCAATGTGCACGGTAAATTAACAACAGTCCCACCACCAACTTGAAATGTCACATTCAGAAAATATTTAAATCGCAGGTTCATTTTATATCATGACTCATTACCTTATGCTTCTTTGCTTGAGGACCACTATTCCTCATGCTCATCTGATGATTGACATTATCCAAATCCAAAGCATCATCATCAAAGTCATCCACTGTCTCAAATTGTCTGTTGAGAAGGTTTGAGCTTAATATAACGTAACTTCAATTTCTACTGGGGCACAACACAGAAAATTAAGTTAAAAATCTTAAACAACATTATTTCTTCATACCCATTCATTGGCCGGAGGCGTTTTTTGGCCTGCTCATTTTTCTTTGAAATGGATGTTACAATGCCTTTTTGTCTAAGTTTCTCTTCGATGGCAGCTCTTACTTTTAGCATCTCAATACTTTGCTTACCAACCTCAGTATCCTGAAATTTAATACAAACAACAGAACATATAACTGAACAGATCAGAGAGCAGCAGAAGAAACAAGGTCACAAGAAACAGAGTGAATTAATCCATTGTGACAGACAAACCTGCTGCTTAGAGTTTAATTTCCTCAATTTCTGCCCTTTCAGAGGAATCTCATCTACTAGTTGCGATCCTTGAAGAGCCTATGTCAAGAATAAACACATCTAGTTAATACAAGAGAGCTGATTGAACTCCAAACACCTGATGACAATTAATCAAGATACCTCAGGCTTATCTGGTATCTCAACTGAAGGTTGGTCAATTCCAGTTCCAGTACTGGATTTAGTCATAGGATACCCCACAACCTGCTTCTCAACTCCTTCGGCACTATCATCTTCCTGTAGGGTGTCCTCAAGATGAGGAGGAAGATATTTGTCAAGTTCCTTCATCTACAATAAGGGAAGAAAAGTTAGGCACTATCACCCAGGAACTGTAATTAACCAAATACTTCGAAGACGGAGTTGCATTAGATGCTATATATCTTCCAAATCATAACATTCCCAACTTTATTACTGTAAGTAAAACTATGCTTTATGAAATAATGTTAGACTCAAGTACACAGATTCCACTACAAATTTTGATTCAATCAGCCTCTAACAGATAAGGCTGCCAAGAAAACGAATCAAACTTCCCCAATAATTAGTCTAATATTTGCATCACTTCATGAATTGGAGTTTTTGTCCTTAAATATGCTCAAAAGAGTACACAGCCAGCTTAGCAACTGCGGCTGCTGAAGCCTCAACCACACGGGCCTTTGAAAACCAAGTTATAATTTAAAAAATTCTGATTCGAAACGCCTACTAACTCATATATTTCAATCAAGAGAGTTTGAAAAGTTACATTTCCGGCAGAAGAGAATTAACAAACAAGATGAAGAACTCACGAGAGAGGAATGTTTTAGCATCTCAACACAAGTAAATGTAAAACAAATTACATCAGTTGTCTTCTAAAGAAAAAAGAGGATAAAGAAAAACAGATAAACAGGTTAAGATATACTTTGATTCCCAAAGGTGCGAAGACCCATAGAATTAAACAAGTCGGAAGGTCTATAAATTTTTACTTTCACTCCAGACAGATTAAGCATATACCCCTGGATAACTTACAATCACACCCATTCTCCGTTTATCCGCTAGAGGTGCATTTCTAAATATGAGTATTAATGATTGAGTATTAAACCAACAGCCCAACAAGTAATACCACTGATTCTCATATAAACAGATGTTTCAGCACACATGAGCACCTGTTATTGAACTGACTATAAGCATAAGTTATAACCTTGTCCAATAAATTTTTTATCTCCACAAGGCGAGAAATGACAGGATGGTCACGAACTGGCTGGCCTTCTGATTTCAGAAGAAGATAGAAAGTGATAGCTTGGCAATAGGAGAGCAGAAGCTGTTGTTTCATCTCCACAAATTGTAGTCCTCCTTTGGTTGCCTTATCTGCTTCTCTTATCTAGAAAAAGTATAAAGAGATCAATTGGTTGCCTTATGATGAAACCACAGTAAAGAGGATTCAACAAAATTTCATGGACAAGTGTAAGTACTTTAAGAAACAAAGCTGTCAATCCTTCTTTTGCTTATTAAATGCAGTAAAAGTACATCTACAAAGTAAACATAATACTGACAGGAAAACTACTCTTGCTAAATCTATTACATTGGAAATAGGAGTATTAGATATCTTTTTTTTTTTTTGAAATAATATATATCCAATTCAATATGAAATATTTTAAAGCCTTTTCCTTCCATCTTCGCATTCATTTTGCCATTTTGGTATAAAAGTTCATTTGATCTCTTTGATTGGCAATTGTTGATTGAACCTGTAAATCTCAGAACCATTGGTATTCTTTTAAAGATATTGAGATAGTAAGAGAATTATTGTTTTCCAATAACTAGTAAGCTTATTTTTGTTAGACTATACGATACAATAATAAATTAATGTTACTCTTTAACTATTTTTTGTTCCTTTTTTTTCAGTTGATTGCAATGTTTTGTAATGAACTCCCTAGTAAACTCCCCAATCACTGAATACACAACACAAACTGAAGCATCTGGACCCACTAATTGCCAAAATTGTTTCTTCATGTTTACTTTTACATCTATTAATTTTTAAGAAGTTTAAACTCAAAAAATGTGAAAGCATTAAAAGATCAGAAGAGCACACCTTGACTAAGAGTGGATTTACTCTGTTCTCAAGCTGCTCCACTGTATCGCCAAGCTCTGTTAGTAAACCAACTAACTCGGGTGCAGAACTGTGCATAAGTGATTTGGACAGATCAGAAACATAAGCCATTGCCAGAGAACATGGAAAAATAAAAACAGCCTAACTCAAGTATCTAATTTGAGATCCCTAATTCAGCAAACTGCTTGAAACTGATTCAGAATCATTTAACCGCTCTATCGAAACTGAATTTTCTATGCTTCCTTCTCAACAAATCAATTAGAAGTTCAGTTGATATTTTGTTCCTTTCACAAAAGGGTTTCGTGTTTTAAACATTTTTGGAGGATGAAAAAATACAGAATCCAATGTAGTGAAACATCTGAAGTTATGATACAAACATTTCCTACATCGTCCTACAACTAAAATCATGACCTCAACCACTTCCTACTTCCTTGCAAAGGTCCGCAACGCTGTTCATTTACTTCTCGTAGTCCATACTATGAAACTCTGTTCGTGTATAAAAAACCTTTGCCCACTCAAAAGTCGACATAGGCTAGAACGAAAGAAGATTGCTGAATCACATGCAAATCAGTTCTAAATTCAGTGTTTTGTAAGGATCCTCTCTTTTTATAATTCACATTAAAGGATCTAATGCCCTAAAAAGGGGCAATTTTCAAGTGACCGGCACTAAGACTAGAAGCAAAAAGGTAATGACTGAGACACTAAGGCAATTCAATACAAGGTTCTGCCTAGAAAGCTTGAAGTTTGGTGTTGAACATGTACAACTATGCCACACAAGTATTTGATAGAAGAAGAAGAAAGAAGAAAGGAAATTAATATAATATTTCCCAAGACGAAAGGAGAAAAATCTACAGCCTTAAAAGACATGAGCCCCATACGAATCTCCAGGCGATTTTAAGGTTCAATATTAGTACAACTCCATCTTAACGGGAATAATTTGCAAAGAATAAATGTTGCCCAAACATGGTAGAAAGAGGTTCACCTGAGCACGACATCCATTTGTTCCTCCCTTGTTAAATCATTCAAGTCTTTCTTGATTTCTTCATAAGTAATAGTGCCATCATCTTCGGCAGCTTTGCTTGCTTTAGCTTTCGACAAAGGTTTCCCATGAGTCAAACTTTCCTAAACCAGAGAAAAGTTAAATCAATCTACAAGGAAGATTTCTCTCCTAGCACCATTGCAACATCAAAAAAAAAGCAGGAAAAGGCACCTCAAATGTGGGTTCCTGGTCACTTTCAGTGTCATTGTCATCCTCAAGACCATAATCATCAGCAGTTAGAGTTTTTTCTTTTTCCCTCTGCAATCTCATAGCTTCTGCCTCCTCTTCAGCGGCAACCTCGTCATCATCACTTGATTGCGCCTACATGTGCATATAAATAAAACTTTTGTACTCAGTCAAAAGATACTCCGTGTGATACGACCCAAAGCTATTAACTACACATAGAAGAATGACAATTTTGCAACATGATTCACCTCTGCATCATAATAATCTTTCTTTCTTCGGCCCCATAGCTTATGTTTATCCTCCTCTTCTTCATCATTATCAATTTCCTCCTCAACCCCACCAATCTTAGCTTGTAAATACTTTTGCTGCCTTGCAACTAGAGAAATGGAACGAATTTCTCATGACATTGAAAAAAATCCATTACAAACACAACATCACACAAATCCACATCTGTCATATATGTAAGAGTGAGGAGAGAAACAAAACCACTGATCAGATACAAGCGACAACTAATTTAGGAATCAAACAGTGGGTATGTAACATGCCTCAAAAGCCTATGTTGCTCGCACAAAATGTAGAAACCAAAACCAAGGAAAAACAAATAAAACCAGAACAAAGGGGTGGAACAGAGCTGTGTCACTCTTCATCTAGGCAAAACCAGTGAACAACAATATTTTAATAACTAGTAATTCAACCAAAATAGTTCCGCAGAGTGGGCTAAAACTCTCTAGTTAAAAAAATAAAAATAAAAATAAAAATAAAAAAATAAAACCCTGAAGAACCAAAATTAGTTCAGCACATCTTACTTTTTGCAGCACGACCAGTAAGTCTGGAGTCATTTTCGATAAAATCATCATCATGGCTGTCATCTTCATCATCATCCTAAGTACAACAAAAATAACAAAGTTGAAAATTTATCAAGAATGAACCGAATTCACAATATCTACATAAAGGCATGGAAAATTCTCGTAAGGTACCACTCTTAAGTTAAAACCATACAACCTGACCATCTCAAAGAATAATTGAAAAGAAAAATACAAAAACTATTAATTTCTAACCTCCAAATCAAAAACTGGCTGCTCATTTTCTTCATCGGATTCTGCTTCATCTTCATCCACATCCAAAGGAACTATATCTCTCTGATTGTGAACTTCAACCAGAAAATATAAAAAGTTAGGGGATTAACAATGCCGATAATGGAAGAAAAAAATAATGGCTATATGGAAGAAGTCTAGACTCAAGAGAAACATCCTTTTCTCTGTGATGGCAGCTGCAATTTACCACATATGGGAGGAAAGGAACAATCAGGTTTTTGCAGGAAAACAGAGAACTATTGATCAGTTGATGAATGTCCTTAAGAAAGAGACTAAATGGAGAGTTGAGTTTTGTATAGGCAATAGAAAAGGGACCTCAGTTCTAAGAATTTTAAGTAATCTGTTTGGATAGATTAATGCCTTTGAATAGAGTTCAGTTTCTTGTAAAAGTGAATTTTGGTTGTAAATATGTGCCTCTGGTAATTTCATCAATATATTTACAAGTTACCAAAAAAAAAAAAAACCAATGCCGATAATAACATTTTATAATGCAGACAGTAACAGATTCAGGTATCTGTTTCCATCGAATTTGGTTACTGTCATTATCCACAATCTATTAATTTTGACCCCTTTAAACCCATGAAGTCACTTAAACCCTAAACCCTAGACAGAAGGAAACCAATTGGGAAGTAACATCAGTGCAAAATTTAAGCATTCATCATGCCTTAAATGGAGGAGCAAAGAGCACTTACAGGCATCAATTTCATCATTCATCATGTCTTCCTCGCCATCATCATAGTGCTTGGACTTTGTTTTTGGGGTATTGCTGTCTTTCTTCTTATACTTCCCTCCTTTTCTTCCCATCTTTCTCCTCCAAAAAAAAAAAAAAAACTGTAATTAAAATCAATTCAAAAAAGCTGTGATCATTACTTCTGTCGTTTTTCTGAGTGACAACCCTATTACTTTTTGAAATTTCATTCTTCCAGAAACAGCCCAAAATGACTTATTTTCACCTCACAAACACCACGATATCTCAGTTCAGAGGCGAAAAACAAAAGAAGCATATTAAAAACTTTAAAAAAAAAAAAAAAAAAAAACACACACACACACACACTAAAGCTATAGAAAGGAAAAAGGAGTCATATAAGAACTCCAGCCGAGGTGGCGGAAGGGTTTCGGTAGATACCTGGTGAGTAGGGTAAGCCGCAAGAGCTTTTCGGATAGTGTAATTCAACTTGAAAAGGCAGTCGCAGTAACTTTGTATCAGAAACAATCAGATGTTTTGCGGCGGCGGCGGAGGGGGTTAGGAAGGGGCAAATAAAAGACGGTGGCGCTGAAAGATGGGGAAGAGAGACTAACGGAGGTTGCAGCAAAGCATTATACAAGTACTATTTACGGGCCTCCATTGAGAATTAGAGTTAAGCTACAGGGCATATTTGTCTTTTCGTCTATAAATCACCCGAATTATGATAGGAATATATATATTCTTTCGAATCGCACTCAACCTATCAAATGCCCTCTTAACATACTAACATCATTATCAATTTGTTTCTGAAAACGTAAAAAACACTCTTCCCATCTTCCATCGATATTTTTTAAATTCTACAATTTGAATATTTTTAAAAATATATCATAAATTAAGTTTAAGAAAATAGTCCATACTAATTCTCTCTTTTCTTCTCCCTTTATCCCGAAATTCTCTCTCCCTTGTAAAGAAAATCCTTCAATAAATATATCTTTCAAGTTTGAAGCATAGAAGAAGCCTTTAAAGGTAATACTTTCTTTTAAGTTTGTTTTAAGTTATAGTTTGAAGTACTCAGACAATGTCTGAGTAAATTCTTTTGTCTGAATCAAACATTTGGCTTTTGTTTACATAAATTATACATGGAAGCTCTATCTCCTTCTTCTCTTTTAATTAAAATACAATGAATTGAGATTGGTTCCAATTGAGATTGGTTCCAATTCCGAGTTCAGTCGGAAAACTCAACAATAAGTGCATTGGGCTAGAAAAGTACCCGTTATGATGAATTGTTTAAGGGGAAAAAGAGGCCACATGATGCACAATAAGTTGTGGATTCCAGACAGGCTTGAGAGTTGGGTGAAACTTTTCCATGCATCTCGATCATTGATATTTTAATTAAGGATGGATAGAGATTTTGATCCTGTAGCTGGCTGACAAGGCATAGCTCCCGGATGAATGGTATCAGCCAGGGTGGTGGTTTGGATTCCGGCCTGGTTTCCTTGCTCGTCTGTTTGCCTGGTCTTACCGGCTAAGATAAGCACTGGCTAGGCCCCAGCCCCAGCCCCACGCCAATTTGGTACTCATCATTTAACTTATACAATTTGAATCATAATAAATTTAAATTATTAATCATGAATTAACTTTCATTTATTAACTTATGCTATAGTTAAACGTGAAAAATGAAAAATTAAGTAATTTTTAATTTTAATGGTTAATAAACAATGAAAAAAAAAACCAAAAAAAAAGAAAAAGAAATGTATATAAACTGTGGTCATTTTAATTATTTTAATATTTAATCACTGCCCATAGGACATACAACAGTATTATCAAAACTCAAGAAGTTTATGTCTTTATGATACATTAAAGCTAAATTCGGGGGTAGAATGTCGTTTGCCCTTTCCTTTATTTAGGATTTCATTTTTTTTCTTTACCGTCGACTTCAGTTTAAAATTCACGTACAGTGAATGCGATGATTTATTCAACGCAAAGATGATTTCCGAAATGACTTAAGAAGATATAACATATTTGTTGAACAAAATTACAAAGGTGAAGAGGAAAAGATGATTCAAATTACCCATCAAAGTTAATTGTTGATGAATATCCTCCTTTTCTTTTCCTTTTTTTTTTTTTGGAAACTACAAATATCCAATTAAGAAAATACACTCCGTTTCATTCAGTTTATAGTGTGTGTGTGTGTGTAAACATCCCACCCAACCCCAAAACATTGGATTAACTATCAATTAGAAACAAAAATGAAGGGCTTCAGTTTTTTAGCAAATAATCGCCTAACATTGTGTTGTTTTTTTTAGCAAATAAAAAAAAAATGATTTTGAGTTTGTTACTCAGCTTGGTTCTCCAATAATGATTTTGAAAAATATTTATTTCTGCATTTTAAAGAAGGATCGAAATATGGTGACCGAATTCAAATAACCCAATGACACTGTGTTTCATCGTGTTTTATAATTCAAAGAATCTCCACCTCGTAATTGATCAACTTCGATAAACATACAATAACTTTCTTTTTTCAGTTTCATTGTGATATCAAGGGTTAATATCAACATTACTTTCGAACTTTAATTAATTATCTAAACACCGTTGCTATTTGAAAAAGAGCAATGATAGAGACCGTGACAAATTATAGTAAAATAGAATAGTGATTAATGAAAAGACAAATACACCATCCTCACTAAATATGTGTATATATTAATTAGAGGTAAATATGTAATTTTTAGGAAAAGATAAAATATGTGTATTTATTAATTAGAGGTAAATATTTAATTTTTAGGAAAAGATAAAATTTTAAAGGAAAAGTGGCAAAAAACTAGGGGCCAAGAATACTCTACATCACTCGTTATCTTTTTTCACTATACATATCATTTTCCTGTGAAAAAAATATCAAACAGTAAAGATATTATAGGTAATCCATTAAAGCTCAAGAGCATTTTTGATACTAACCCTAATATAAAAAATGAATTTAACATGTGAGATTATAAGGTTTTGTTAACATACATATAAGTTGTGTGTGCGGAAAATCTAGGATGGAAGCAATGTAAGATATGGAATCAAGCTGGATGGATTATAACACTTCTACTAGGAATGCATTGATATTGATCTCCACCAATCCAGCAGTACTGTACTCCCCCTTCTTTAAATTAAAAATCATGTTAAATAAACAGAACTAGAATTCAAGAAATATTATGCTACATGAAGAGAGTATTTGGTACGGAGGATTTGGCAGAATAAGAAGTTAGAATGTTAAGAAGTTCGCATGCCTAGAAAATATTCACAACAAAATGTCAAGCTAGAATGCCCACAGTTTTACGTGTTTGTTATATAAGGCAAACCATCCACAGTTTTATTGGTGCATAACAAGGAAAACTGCTCATTGTTCAAGAGGTCTTCTCAAATTTCACAAGGGATAAAGGACCCAATGGTACAAAAATTACGATAAACTTGAGCTCCCGAGATTTTACAACTGCACACTCCTTGTTATTGACAGTAGTCATAATTCTCAACATAGAAGCAAAAGCCAGAACCTCAAAACTATAAATTGAATTAAAATTCCCCATAGTCCATAACAAAACCTATTCTTTTTCCTTTGCAAAGGCGAACGGAGTTCTTCTGCTTTGCTCAAAATTGCCAAGAAGTATATTTTACCCATCTAATACAGTAGAGAAACACCATTTTTTCATAGAAATGAGGACCATTATTTTCTCGTCATAATCCTCCAACCAAGTTTTGATGAATAGGAAGCTAAGAATTTAATTAACCACGTCGAGGACTAGTTTACGTGACTTGAAAACCGACCATTTCAAGCGCCTGTAGTAACCAGCTTGAAGGAGTGCGAGGGAGAGCACCAAAATCCACTTGAATCCCATCTGAAACATGATATCTATGTAAGAAAACAGCTACATGCATACAATATCCACAAAATGAAAACCATCAAAACCAACTTACAAGCTTTCTTTCTTCCATCTCCGGCTCTGCAGCCCACGACAAAAATGACACCACATCTTTCCCCATCTAATGATGCAAACCAAAAGTTAGTGTAAAACGAAGAGGACAAGTTGCAAACACTATGAACAGCAAATATGCCAAACGAAGAAGGCAACCTGAGCTTCAGTAGCTGGAGTACCATCTTCATACTCCACTGCACCATCAATGAGCATTTTGGGCATAGCGATAGCACCTCCCGGAAAGTAGGCATTATAATGCAAACCTTCTCGAATCTACATCACTATAGCAAGTCAACTAATGGGGTCAATAAAAGTCATACTACCTCAGAAGCGAGGCTCTGGAACAACATACATTCGGCAAGCATGAGGCAGTTGTCTAAAGAATGAATCAAATTGCGCAGTCTGTTCTCTCTTCCTCTCAAGCAATTACTAGTTCTATCCCACCAAAAACTTGGGCATGCTTGCTAGAGAAAGTGCAAGCTAAACAGATGGAATTCTAAATGCCTAGCCGTGCGGAAAGGAAGATAGAATCGCATATCACTTTTTCTTTTGCGATTCTGCGGTGACAGAGCCTGTGCTATGTTAATAGACAGTTCTTATATGGAAATCTGGAATTGTAGACCAAGATGGTTGAGCACAGGAAATTTGAAATTGAAATAGCTTTTCCACTGAATAGACAGAGCACGAACCATCTACTTTATAAGGTGATGGCGTGATGCATATGTCACAGGGAAAAGTTAGCTAGCGTAGGAACACACACCCAAACAGCAATTAGTTGTGAGTCGTGATGAATAAAAACAGCTTTTCTGTCAATCTTACCAGCAACTTCGCCGCATACATGCAGCTTACATGAGTCAAGATTGTTAGATGTTCCTAGTTCACTAGTACTCAAGAACTCATCAATTTGTTTGTCGTCTTCTACTCGCAGGAATTTAGTTCTTGGCAAACCCGTCAATTTCATTATGGCTCACAGGCTAAGGAAACCACTTGAGTGTACATTCTTGTCCTAACTATTATTAGGTCTGTAAACAGCATTGAGAACTCCCTTTTCAACAGTATAAAAAAGAGTTTATATAATATTTGAATCTTCTTTTATTCTTTATGTTTTTCAAGATTCGTCAAGGAGTCCTAAGAGTTAAACTTCTGTTTCACGTCAGGCAACTAAGGTGCCAATCCCCCTTTCCCATAACTTTGTTTCGACTAATTTAATACAGAAAGACTTGATATGAAATTTAAAATAAGTAAATAAATAAATAATGACTAATAGGTTTGTTGGCAGGGTTGGATGCAGTGGTTAGCGTGGACCATTCCTACCACAAGAACGAGGGTTCAAAACCTCATCAAAGCACTCCCATTTATTTTATTTCTTTCAGTTTGATAGTCAAATTGTAAGGACCAACAGATTTACTCCCAAATCAATAAATCTGTTTTCCCGCAAAGGTGTGCAAAAGAGAAAACAAAGCAGAAACATAGAGCAGAGAGGACATTTCATTCAACTGCATATTCTAAACTCTTTGGCTTCTGCTTTGTTGATCTTCGGGTTAAATGAAATGAAAATATTAGCAGAAACAGCAAGCAAGGAGGTAATAAACTATTCCCACATATCTCCAAGTCAAGACGGACACTGATTCTGATCATCTCCAGTCATAAAAAACAATGTGTTAAAATATCTACATGTATGTTACTTACAGTGATGCCAGCAGGAGGATCACGGTAGCCAGTTAAGAGGGCAAAGACATAGTTCTGACCATTATGACGAGCCTAGAAGGAAAGATGAATTAGATACTGTAAAGAGACACAAACAGGAGAAAATAAAAAGGATGAATTGCAAACAACAAAGATACCTTGGTAATGAGACTCAAGTCTGGAGGATAAGCACCTCCATTAGCAAATCTGGCTGCTGCTTCATTTGGATATGGCTGTGGGAAACGGTCACTCAATTTCCCAGGGCGAGTAAACATCTCACCTTCATCATTAGGTCCATCAGTCACCTCAATCTCAGCAGCCATTGCTTTAACTTCATCCTCAGTATATGCAACACCAACTAAGTCACGGTACGACACAAGAGACATTGAATGACAGGATGCACAAACTTGCTGATAAACCTGATGGCCACGGCGGATCCTGTTCACACAAACTCATTAAAACTACTACAAAAAGTATCAATCACATAGGCCGATGTTATGATTGCGCACTAAAATTACTCTTTGATAAAAAAACATACTAGCTCCATAATGCATGTTCAAAAACACAGATAATAAGTATAATAATAATCAAAAACATAGATCCGAGTTGTGCAACTCCGAAAAGGTGATTCAAACTACCTCTATGTTAATTGCAAACATGACCTAGAAGTGTATTTTCAGGTCAAGGTATTTATATGCAAATCTTTCATGTATCACACAGATCCCCGGAAAGCAACTAAGAGAATAGAAAGCATCCAGACTTTTGTTGGAGGAAAATTGAGAAAAAAGAAGTCAATTTCTACTAAATTGTAATCCATATAAAAGAATTAAAACATCATAAATAAATTATCAGTCAAATGGAAATATAGATATCAACAAACTCAAGTTTGATGAATGTTAAATGAATGAAATTATGAAACAACTGTCAACAAAGCTCCTACAAGGAAAAAAACACCAATAATAATAGAGATGATACCCAAGAATATTCACAACAAATTACAATACTTTCATTGACGTTAAAATGTTTTCGCGTCACTTCAATCACATATTTTCTAATGAGTCTTCTAAAAGAAAACAAAGACCAATAATTGGTGTGATGCCCAAGAATATTCACTACAAATTTTAAACACGTTAAAATGTAAAATTTCAAGTCATTTCAATCTGATATTTTCTAATGTCTTTTATGTCATGGATTTCAAGCATACAACATCAAACTAAGCCAAATGTGAAACCTTGCAACATCCATAGTGTTAAGAATCTGACAGCCATAACTAATTGGGAAAAATAAAAGGGGCAATGATGGACTTCAAATGTAACTGGTAAGAAGTTAAAAAGTCAGAAAAAGGGTGTAGAATTATTTGCGGAAACCAGCACAAGAGTGCATTCTATTAAAAACTTGCAGCTTTGTACACATGGGGTGGAACAGCTCTCCAATAGTATACGTCCTGATATGACCGTGGCTATATACACTACTTTGGGCTTAGTCAACAATTAAGCCAATCTAATCCAATGAGGCTGCATAATGAGGGATATGATGAAAAAAGGATAACCAACAAAGGTTCAAAATAACGGCAACAGACAACTGTATGAAAATTCTATCAAGACAGTGCACAATGGTGGAAGATAGATATTAATATTTATTCTTAGCGCCAGGGAGAATTGCAAAAGCAGTATGTAAGTGCCAAATAAGAACTTATTCAGCAGTCACAAGGTAAGAAGAATGGCTTCTGGTACATTGATTGCGGTTATAGTTATTTGCTCAATTTGCAATAAAATTGGGGTCCAAAATTCCGTTACAATGTAAAGGCAGCTTAACCAAAGCAATAAAACCATCAGAGATGCAGAATGCAAGAATTTTGATTACTAATACCCTAACTTGGAGAGAAGATACGTGAAATATCTCACATGATTTCCACAAAAATTTTAAAAAACTTAGTATACACAGAACCAAAGGTGGAGAATAAACGGAAGCAGATGAATTTCAGCAGTATATCAGGAATCATCAACAGTTATTGTGACAATGTGCAATGGTCTATAGGAATTCAATAACCAGAATTGGATACTGATGCTAAACTGCAAGTCAAAGAAAGGGGCACGGCCCATTCTTCCTTATATTAAGGTCACAATTGAAATGCAAACACAACAGGAAACAAGCAAACCATGGAAAAACACCTAGCATGCTTATCCACTACAATGCATTTCTCCTTCCTGCGTTCCAATTTCCATATTATAGCAAACCACCATAGGATAAAATGGCCAAAGGTTCAAGATTCAATTCATGAGGAAAAGTTATAGTTCAGGTATAATTCTTCTTTCCTAAACAGCTTCAAACTTGCAATGAGATATGGGCCGTACGGGACTTTTATGCCGCAGCAGTCAAGGACACAACTAAACAGATCGAGGTGGCACCAAAAAGAGGTATAACAGTGTAAGGCTGAGAAGTTTTAATGTAGAGAACACTGCCATGATAATAGGCACCAACACCAGGAAGCCAGATTGAAAAAAGTGGAGAAAGCCACATGGCAGCAGGAGGAAGAGACAGATGAGGAACTTTGTTTAGTAGTGATGAACAGAAGAAAGAAGGAATACAAGAAAAGTTTCAAAAGAAAAAAAAAAGGCCATCCCAAAAAGAATAACAGACAAAAACAAAAATACCACAGTTTCTACTTCCTAGCATGAGATTCCTATTTTTAAATAACTACAATACCCAGCCAATCATTCAAAAAGACCACATAAAAGATTACACAGGTAAGCCAGCATCTTGCTCCCGATAACAAAGCTCTTATAATGCGGTAGCAGCTACACTAAATTGTCTATGTGTGACTGATGGGACAGACCAGCAGAGATTATTGTCACTAAAAATAAGCAGTAAATACTCACGAGGCATGATCATATGAACTGAGGATGCCACTATGAGGCCAAGGATAGCTTGGTGCCTCCAAACCATGTTCAGCCTCATCAGCAGATGCAATAGTAGTGAAACTTAGAAGCCCAGTTACACCTGCACCAAGTAGTGCCAGTGCTCTGAGAGAAGTCATGGCAGGAGAACCCATTTGCTCAGAACCTTTCTTGGAAAGAAGTGGTGACAGAGCTGGTGAGGCCTGCAGAATGAAGAATTTTAGTAAAACAGGTAACGCCTAATGTGCAATTAAAACAGCTGAAAAGCAGGCTTACAAACACAAATTTTAGAAGAGTCTAATCTGTTCCTCCCATTATTAACCACCCAAATATTCATCCTAGCATTGACCCCAATGCAACTATCCCACAAAAAGTAGTACAGAAGAACGAGTTGATAACTCCAACCAGTTAAGTATGAGGGAACTACGTCTTCTCAATGAACTTAAATGTCGCAGCACTCCAAAAAACGAATGGCTTGGCACAAGGCAAGTAAGGCAATTAAGTTGTATAAACTTATAATTCGCTTGACAAGTTAATCTTCATTCACAACCAGAAACTTTAGAAGACATTAGAACCTCTTCTTTTTTTTTCCACAAACAACCAGAATGAAGTGAAAGGCAATATAGTAGAAGGAAGATAAATCCATTAGACTCAGGCTTATTGGGTAGAAATAAAAGAGAGGGAAAACTGAAATAAAACAGTAAGGTCGAAACTTACTGACTGGAGCCTTTCCCGCAACAATTTGTGAAACACTCTTCCGCCAGCTCCAAACATTTTCAGTCAAAGTGACCAAGCTGACACTAACCATCAAAACAGGGCAGCAATCATAACCAGCACAATCCACCGAGCTCAAGCAATGACAAAGAGATTCATTTAAGCTAAATCGTAAACTTCTTTCAGGCCAAAAAATCCAATGAAGTTCTAATTTCCAATACCAAACACAGAACATTTATTTAAAAGGGTGAAAAAGAACCCCCCAAGAAATCTCCTTTTCTCGATTTGGTTCTAGGTGAACCTTTTCAGTTCATCCATTCGTGAAACATAATTTCAAGCTAAACATAAATATTCGAAACTTTTTATTTAAAAAAAATCCCAAAGATCCACTCACCCTAACCTCCTAAAACATTTAACCACAGAGTCCAAAAGATCTCGAAACTACCTTTTCCATAGAAACCCAGAAAATATATCACGTAAAAACGCAAAAAAAGAACTATCATTCCGTCCCCAACCAGTTCGAACAAAAACCACAGAATCATAATCCCTAGGGCCGTAAATGATTGGATAGATTTACATGACGAAAGTTTGATGCTTTTTTCAATGCCCGTTAATGGTAGAAAAGAGAGATTGAGAGAGGATGATTGATGAAGAAGAGTACCTGGAGAGCAGCAAAACGAATTTGTGAGAAAAGTGTGGATGAACTCAATGAATCGTGGGCTCTGCTTACTGTTGCTTTGTTCCTCCTCCTCACTGATCTGTGACGGTATAAAAGTGAGCTATGCTGAATTCCTATTTTGCCCTTCCGAATCTTGCAAATTCCATACTTTAGGTTTTTATTGACTTTTCTTGTGGCTTCTATTTTGTGCTCGTGGCATGGTATATTTGTGACTTGTGAGTTAGAAATGAGATTTTTGTTATGTGTTTTCAATAACAGGAGTTAGAGGTATACAAATTAGAAGGCATAATTTTTGCGTAATGATTGCTTGTTTCATAATCATAACCCTTATGCCAAAACAACTTTTAGCATCCAAAACAAATTTTAAATGAATGAATATAATTACACATCTTAAAAGAATAATTTATTTTTATCTCTTTCACTATTTCACCTCTGACAGCACTCAAATCCACCAATTATGGAAGCATGCCTCATCAATTCCAAGTCAAACACTTCGTTGTCCATTCCTCTTCCAGAATGGAAGCAGCCCATTGAGATAAATCGACACCGTTCTTGCTTTTTCCGGCTATTTTCCCCATTGAGGTAAATCGACACTGTTCATCGTCTCTCCCAGCGATTTTCTGGTGAGAAGTTCCACCAGTTGCGATTATGTTTGCATTAGCAGTAGGAGACATTAGTTGCGAGAGGCCGTAGTATGAGGTTTTCGCATTTGTATTTTCATCTAGCAATACATTGCTAGATGTCAGATTTCCATAAATAAGGTTCACCTGAGAATGAAGATACAGCAATCCTCTGGCCATCTCCTCCTCCCAAGGTTACGGCCAAAATTTTTTAGGTCCATTATTTTCTATTTCCTATCTCGGCTTCCATGGTTCGAAAGCAACCCCGATCCATAATCATAACCAAATGCAGCCAATCCAACACAATCACAGAATCTTTTTCATTCCTAAAAAATTTTATAATTGGGATTTTTCGTTTACTATGGAAACTGAATGTGTATAAATGAGTCGCCGACGATTGTGTAAAAGAAGGGACTATCGTGTGAAAATTAAAACGATTAAATTTAAGTTGTTTAATTAATGAGGGTATTTTAATAAAAGTTGCCATGGATGCTAATTTTTGTTTTGGCGGAATCACTGCCTTTTTTTATATTTCAAAAGTATAAATCATTTATTCATTAGGTTTTTCAAGTTATTGAGTAAGAAATATTAATAAAATCATGTTTCGAACTATGAAAATTGTTAAATGTTTAAATATAAAAAGTGACGCCAAAAAAAATTAAAATCTAGGGAGGACTACATTTTTTATTTTTTTTAAAATATGAATTTTAATATTTTATCATATTGCATCACATATAGAACGTTAAAATCTACATAATCATTTCACTAAAGATCAATTTATAACACAAGATGTGAAAGATTTTCACACTTGCTAATGTTTACTGTCACTAATTTTTCAAAACATAGAAGGAGGAGGTTCTCCCTCTATTTTAAAATTGTACTCCTTCCTATCAGAAAAATAGTCCAGTTTAATAAAAAAAAGTTTGTCCCAAAAAAATAGTCCAGTTTCACAAAAGTCAAAATTAATTGAATTGAAATGACTTAAATAACAAAAAGAGTAGTGGTAAAGAAAACATGGTCCACTTCCTTTAATTTTCATTTTTTTTTTTAATTTTCTCTCGTTTTTTCAAATGATTATATCTTTTAATATATGAATAATTAAAAATTTTTGTTATATATCAAATTAATCTACGTAACAAGATCTTTCCATCAAGATCTATTGTCAATATTTTTTGAAATAAAAATTTTAATCAAATTTAAGTTGTAAAATAAATGTAGATGCAGTTAACTTTTATAGAAAGAATGAACCTCAAAACGTGTTATTGAACTATTAGGTAATTCTAATACAGGTCATCAATCGAATTTATTTGTATAACAGGCCACCTTACTAAGCAAAAAATTCATCCGAGATCATTATGTTATTTTGGCCGTTAAATAGTGACGAAAATCCATTTTTCACATCCTTTTGGGCTCAGGGGTATTCTTGTCATGTTGTTATTTTTAAATTTTTGTTTTTGTTTGAAATTTTTTTTTTTAATTTTTATTTTTTTACAATTCTTCTTCTTACACTTCCTAACATACATGTGCTAATAGTATAATTCCTAAATTTCAAAAATTAATTTAAATTTTGTATTTTAACTTTTAGATTATAATTTTTTTTTTCCCTAAGAGAAGTTGTTTCTCCTAAGTTATTCTAGGAGTTAAATAGTGACAGAAAATTATTTTTCTCCTTATTTTTGGTCCAGGGACAATTTCATCAATTTATATATATATATATATTTAAAATATTAATATTTTACTTAATTTTTATTTACGAATCTTCTTCTTTTGCTTCCTATCTTGTATATGTTACTACTAGTATCATTATTAAATTTTAAAAATTAATTTGTCATTTGTATTTTAACTTCTAGAATATAAAAATATAAAGAACAGAAATTCAAATTGAAGTAAACGTGAAAATTAATAATTAAATGATTAAATCGAGTTGAAAATAATTAAATAACCTAGAACAAACAAATTTTCTTAGCTAATTTTTTTTATAGTTTAAAATGGTAAACTATTAATTTTCATGTTTATTTTAACTCGAATTTTTCTTCTTCATTTCTTAATTTTTTTAAAAAAAATGTATCATCTAGAAGTTAAAATATAAAATTAAAATAAATTTTTGAAATTTAGAATTATACTACCAATATATACAAGTTAGGAAGTATAAGAAGAAGAATTGTTAAGAAAAAAAAAGAAAAAAAAATTTTCAAAAAAAAAAAATTTTAAAAAACAAAATGACAAAAATACCTCTAAACTCAAAAGCATGTGAAAAATAGATTTCCGTCACTATTTACCGGTCAAAATTAAGAGAATAATTTCGGATGAATTTTTTGCTTAGTAAGGTGACCTTTTATACAAATAAATTTGATTGATGACCTGTATTAGAATTACCTAATAGTTCAATGACTCGTTTTGAGGTTCACTCTTATAGAAATAACTAGAAGGGGCATTAGTGGAAGTTAGGGGCATAAAATGAGTTGTACATTTAGTGTGTTGACTAAATTAAAAAAGTTATACATTTTCAAACTGAACTATTTTTCTGGGAGAGAGAGAGTAGTATTTATTTAGTTTTGCTTCTCTAATAGTCCCTGTTTTGATCCTCTTTTATTAGGGAGTTTTCTGCCCTTTGGAAGTCAAATCTACCAATTTTAAGTGATTTTTTTTTTTTTTTTTTGGTTCTGGAATGTTATTTTTTCCGGTTATTTAGACTTTTTTTGTGTTTTCTCTAACAGATTTGTTGAAAGAGACAATAAGAATAATAAAATAAAATAAAACTATTGTTTGAGGGAAAAAATACAATATGGGAAAAACATGAACTTAACCCTGAAATGAAAGATTTGTTGCATATTGGAAGGGGAGTGTTAGTTTCATAGGTCAAAGGGGATGTTAAGTTTATACTCCCTCCGTCCCATAATTATTGTCCACTTTGTCCAAAAATTTTTGTCCCAAAATTATTGTCCAATTTGATTTTTTATGGATCAAGTTACACATTTGTCCTTAGTAAAAAATATTATCCATAAAATCTTAGTGGTTAAACAATTATTTATGTAGGGGTATATCCGGTTGTTTAAGATAAAATATAGTTAAGTTTGACCAAAAATAAAATCTTTTATTTTAGTAAAACTAGATAATAATTATGGGACGGAGTACTTTATTGGTCACAATAAAAAAGCTTTCAACTGTTATAGCGTCTTATAAAATGTAATCATTCTTAGTGCAGTTTGATTAATGGTGATAGAGTTAAACTTGTGTTTGGAAGACCATCAATCCATCATAGATCAAACTAAGATTGAATTTCGCCACTAGGTTGTCAAAGAACTTGGGAAAAAAAAAAAAAACAAGAACAAAAACATAAACAAGAACGAAAAACCTTCTTACTTCAAGAATTGATAGCTCATTGAACTTGCTCATGTGAATTGTATGAAGTTTAGGGTTCCCTCGGTCGATTAATCTTTTAACCAGATATAGTATAGAATTTTAATAATAAAAAATTAATGAAAATTACAAGAAATAACAAAACTTTCCCCAAGATTACAAGAAAAATTAAAATTTATAGGCCAGTGAAGCAGCAAGTAGTATTCAGAACACATTTTTACCTGAAATATGACGATGGTTCAACTTGCTCCATATTTGATGAAACAACTCAAAGCTATCACAATTGTTTCATTTTTTTATAGTTTTTTCAAATTAATATATTAATAACTGTCCCATCCCGGCATACCTTTTTATATTTCCAACACACCTTTTTACATTATTTATACAAAAAACAGCTAAAAATACACACTAAAAAAAACAAACATGCCCTAAAAGTTTGATGGTAGGAAGACATGCAAAAACACCCCATGTTTGAGGGAAACTGCAATCTTTCGTTTTTCTTGTAAATACAATTCCAATATTGTAGTTCAAGAGTTTCAAACAAAGTTTATGTGGGAAAAAAAATCTTAACTATCAACCATTTCATGGTAATGGAGTTACTCCATGCAAATTTTGAATCCAATAACTATATACAAGTAGAGTACTTTTAACCTCTCAAACCGCTTTGTGGTCGAAAGGCCCTGCTTTGTAACTGAGATAGTTGAACATAAAAGTATAAATAAAGCTCCTACAACATGCACAGTTCTGAATGGACTTACTATCTTTTAGGCCTGTCTTCAATTTTAGGCAATGATTGTGAGCCGCCAAGTGCTGCTGCAGCAGATTCCACATGAGTTAGAAGGTAGTCGTATATCTTCTTCCGTAATCTCTCAATGGTTTCTGTAGAGATTTGAGGCATCTCTTCTTCATCCTTTCTAGCACCAATCTCATCCAACCAATCATTCACGCTCTTCAGCTGAGTTAACATGCCGGCTATTTGACCATTGTCAGATAGAGTTGAAGCATCCACATCGGCATCCAGAAACCTTTCGACGAATCCTAAGAACCATTCTTGAGATTCCACCCGCAATATGTCAGCCAAGTCAACTGCATTATCCAGTCCTTCTCCCTTATGCCATTCCCTCGGCGGGGAAGAAGCTCTTGCCTTCTGATTAGGAACTGTCCCATCTGCCAAACGACGTGTTCCAGATGGAAAGATCTTGGAAACTACGGTCTGTTTAGGTTTAGCTTGGTTCTTTCCGCCTGCACTTTTCGAAGAGTTTTCTAGAACTAAAATGGGTTGATTAGCAGGGATTGCTTTTGGAGTAGCTATTGAATTGGAGGCAGAAACTGCGATGGAAGTTCCACGTTTACTACATACGGTGAAGGGAGACAAATTTGTAGCTAACGCAGCATGGACCCAAGAAGATGCTTGCTTACGTCTCTCTGATGCAACCTTCTGAGCTTCTTCCGAGGTGTTTTCATCAGGATCCGAAGTCGAACCAATAAGTACAGTTTTAGATAGAGCATCAGCCACCAGGCGGGCATTATTCAATCTTGCAAACAAACTCAAAAATTGCTCCACTGCAGGTTGAGGATTTTCTTCTTTGGAAGAGGAGCACAACTCAGAATACGTGCTGCAAAGTGGTCATTGGTGAAGGATCAGAAACTAGCCAGCAGCATAGAAATCCATTTTGTAGTTAAGTAGTTCAAGCAAAAATATGTTTCCTCATTAACAAGATGTATTTAACAATTGGAGTGGCAAATTGATTTCTTCTCACCAAATAGTAACAACTGGAAATCAGCTTATAAGGAGACTGGAATTTATTAATACGAAAAGTTACTCCAAAATAGAACTCTATATATGATGAGAAGATGTGCGAAAATGATTTACATTTCAATGTCATTAACTCCCATTCTTAAATCAAGATTGCTTCATTCATTCAAGATAAAGCCAAACAAAGAAAATTAACCTCCAACTTCTTTAAGCGGCACAGTTTTCGCTTTATCTTGAATCTATTGAAAATCAGCCAAGAACTTGACTGAATTTGACATCAGAAGAATGGTTTAGTGCTTATAACTATCAGTTAAACTAACAACCTTCCACTTATGGAATAACTATTTCAATAGTTTTACTATTGCATTATGCTAATCAACCCAACAAAAGAAAAACAATACAAATTGTAGTCACGAATGATGAGACAGCAAACTCAATGTTTGCTCAATTCATGCTGAAGCACTAGACAGCACACCTAGATAGAGGAAAGGCCACTATGGGAGATAGTATGAAATGTTCTCTACATTTTTTCATACTAGCGGCTAACGGAGGTCCGAAAAACTGCAGTAGGCCTGTAAGCAGTTGGAAGTGGTAAAAAGAGAAAGAACAAAGGGGAGAAAACATAAAAATGAAGAACTGATAGCAATATGGTTGAAACATGCTTCTGACTAATAACAATCACACATAAAATCAAATCAACTTGATGATCTGTTGACACCTAGACCATTATCCAAAAGAAAAAGACAGTGGACAAAACAGACTTGCATTTCTCATCAAACAAATACAAAAAAAGAAGAATATTGAAAACGCTTCTAAAACCCAACTCTTTCTGTCGTACCTACTTTCTTTACTTACTGCGCCTCCTTCCTTTCATTCCTCTCTCTTATGGTCGAGCTCCTTCGGAAACTAGTGCTTCCTTTACCTGACTTTCCCTAAAGAATAATTACATTGTTGACTACTAGAATACAACAGCAAAAAGCCTTCTGACAATTAGGTTATGTTAACTATATGGACCATTTTTAAATTGCAGTCTGTCAAACCACTGTTTCTCATTCAGGTTTAACATATAAAGCCCCTTTGTTTCCCTAGTTGCCATAATTGGGCATTCAAATTCTTCCTACACACATGTCTATAAATACGACTCTCATTTTCTCAGATATTGAGACTACCCTCATTATTGTTGCTGATTTATTATGGATAAAACATATCCAATCTTTCTAGTCAATCAAATGTCCATCTCGGCTATTCTCAATTTCGTACATATTTGCAGTAAGTCGCCCAACACCCTGTAAACCAACTCTATTTTCTTATAGCAGTTAATTATTCTTTTAAACCAAAAGGAGTAACATATAGAGAATTCTCTTCTCCAACTGTTATGTCCTGCTAAAATTTAATGTATAACACATAATCAATATCTCATTTCTTCTCAAAGATAGATCTCAAGTATTTTAAGAAATAACATATATTACATTAGCACCAATTTTAACACCTACCAGAGTGCTTCTATACTGTAGTATTTCTTCAGGGGGGTATATTCAGTCTTAAATGTATTCATCGCGGAACATTTTAATTTTATTGCTTTCCTCAACATTTCTATATTAACATTTGCTCGTCGTGTCTGATCAATCAAACTTATAATGCTTGAATTTAACATATATTCAGCAGTGAATTTGCAAGGAATCATTGCAATCAGTTTCAATCAAATACTATCCCAACCAAATACTATCTCAAATAGGTAGGTATATGCCAAAGCTGCTCTCTCATGATTGTCCATCATATTTGGGGGTTCATCAGTATCTTGCAAAACTGCTATTTACTGTTCCTATCCATCTTTTGTTTTCATATCCGTCAAGTTATATTGGGATCAGCCTTAATCACATGCATCCTAAAAATCAATGTGTAACATATATCATACATTTCTCATCACTATATTCACATCTTGTTCTTATCAATGTATATCTTGAATCTTAGATCTCCCCCACATGAATAGAATAAAATTTTCTATTCCTTTGTCAACCTTTCTGTACCTGTTTACAATAGGTTCATATACTCAATCATAACATCCTTAATTCCTTATAATTTGCATAATCTTTTCATGTCTACTTTGTAAAATTATCAAAATATTTTCTCTCGATTAATGACACACTTTCGTAGTTGCCCATTCTCCACTGGGCTTCGTACCAAGCCTATCCAATCTAGATCAGAAAAACTTAGACAACCAGGCATGAATCTGACCTAGGTAACACTGTTAAAGTCCAACCACAGAAGATTTCTGCACATCTCATGGAAAAAATACAGCATGAGAGACAAAACTCATGGCCGTTTGTTTTTCAAAAATATATCACTTGTAACTGCCGTTGAATAAAAGTTTTGCCCTTTGACAGCACCCAAAGGGTAAAATCTTGAGAGAAAGTGTCATACCAGTAGAGAAACGGAGAAATCTAGCGCCACTCTTATTACATGAATGAAAACTCCTCAAAGAAATGAAAACCTTATCTCCTCCATGACATGAGGAAGTAAAAATAACAGGCATATCTAGATTGATACAATTTACATAAATTTAACAAATGCAGCCTTCTTTCAGTCAAGTAGTGCAACACAAAGGAACTCAAGTAAATCCACCAATTAAGGATTCTGATGAGATGCACCCAGGTTCTGTTAGGATCTACAAAGGAAAATTTGGAGAACGAAATTCAGGTATCCTTTTTAGAGTATCTGGTGCCGGAATATACTATGTTTGTTAGATACTAGTCCCGAATTTGTCCTTTGTCAAGTGGTGCAACATAAAGGAACTCAAGTAAATACACCAATAAAGGATTCCACCAGTTTAACCCAAGCTTTGTTAGGATCTATGAAAGAACTGTTGGAGAACAAATTTCAGGTATCCTTTTAAGGATATTCGATGCCAGAATATTCTATCTTTGTTAAATACTAATTCTGATTTTTTGTCCTTGTCAAGGTTGTTCGAAATTCGAGTAGACTGCAGCTTTGCATTAATTTTTTTTAATTTTTAGATTTCCTATGTTTTAAAAGCTAAAAGTTAGTATTCTGGACTGGAGATTAGGTTCATTATCCCGGAAATGGAAGGGTGAATCATGATCAAATTAGCTTTACTGTTTAAGTCAATAAATCGCCAAAAGACTTAGTTGTTATTATTGTTGATGCTTATTGTCTGAAAAAGTTCATTCTCCAAAGGGAAATGAAAGATTACATAACCTAATAGAACTTATTCAAGTAATGTTTTAGTGCTTTGCAAGGGCACATAAATGCTGCTTTCCCTTGGTTAGAAACATAAATGCTCTTTGCAATATTAGTAAACAAAAGCCATGAAAATAAAAGTAACCAACTAAATAAAACACAGGGTGTAATAAGAAGAATTTAGAAAACCAAGCATATCTGACTACAAAACCCAGAGAAATTACAGGCCAAGAAATACCTTATACATTGAAGTAAGCTCTCAGCAGCTGAAGCCTCTTGCACTGCCTCAATTGCAGCAGCCTGTGCAGCGTCTCTGTGCTTCAAGACTTCCTGCCAAGCACAAACAGACAACCTTGATTTCAACTTACAAATCCTAAGAAGACATCAGCCAATTTCACAGATACTCTATTGGTTTCACTGTAAGTAAATGCAAACTCAGCGTGATTGGACATGTAAGTCTCAGAGGAGCACCAATCAGGGGATAAAAGATCAATGACAAATTTGCTAGGGACTCAAAAAGTTCATCCTACAATGTTAGTGCAGGAAAACTATGAAACAAGAAACAAAGACGATTCTCTGAAAAATCTGAGAGTCAACTTGCAAAGAAAACTTTTGGACCACCACACATCAAAGCGCAACAAAGAGCAAACCAAAATTACTACAAATTTAGTACTGACCAAAGTATCAACGAAAATCTATTATTAAGTTCGTGTATATTGTTTATTTCAGCAAGAGATTCTCATTTGATTATGATTCACAATCTATGTAGACACTCTTAGCAAATCTCCTAATATCACCTCTAACATCAAGAGTACCCAAATGAAATCCTTCATTCCTTTCTTTTAGTTGATACAGCCCCATTTTAAAACAAAATGAGGCCACATTCTGATAGGTTGGATTTTTCAGCTCATAGGGAAGAGCACTAAAGTTCCTTCTATCACCAGACTTGCAGGAGAAAGTTTAAGGATCCAACGAAAGACCAGGGAAATCCAAAGAAGTATGAAAAGTTTACATATATCATACCCTTCCAAGCTTTGAGATGGATGATGGTAGCGAAGTCCATGAAACACTTGCATCTGTAAACCTTTGATTACTTAAAGGAACCTTGACTAACTGCCCATCTAGTCCAAGACCAGCATCAGATGATTTCCTTCCAGCAGAGGTCTTCTGCTTAGTCAACTTCTCTGTTTCAGCAAGATCTCCATTTGCATTAACTTTCTTTGCAGACGGGTGACTACTATTTTCAGATTTTGATGTTTTAGCAGAATTGACTTTCTGCTCTTCTTTAGATGGTAGCCTCTCGCTGGTTGATTTTCTTGGAGCCTGCAAGGTTTTAGTAATCACAAGTTAAGTTTTGAGTTAGTTGCACAGAGAACAAATTAATACAACCAAGACTTGAGCACAACAGAAACATGAGCTTCAAAACCAAATTAAATAATTAACGATTACTCTTGTAAGAATTGCCACTTCCTTCTGTATTTAGACAGACAAGTTAAGGGAACTCTATGTTAACCAGAAACAAAAAGCATGGAGTTGCCTTTTTCAAGAACAATCCCAAACCTGACATTTATAAATAACATCACACACAGAAAAGATGTTCACTACATATTGTTTTTTATCAATCCAAACCTAAAAGCTTGAAAACGCTTTTGGTTTCCATTGAAGAATTAGAAATGCAAAGTAGGATCTCTACGTCAAGAAACTTACAGAAGTACTCCGAGCTTCTGACTTCAAATCATTCTTAACAAGTTTCATCCTGGGGCTTTCCCTGCTCCTCAGATCCATATTGCCTTCCCAGCTCTTCCTCAATGACTTTGGCCCCATGTCAATCCCTAGTACACTACTTCGGCTTAATTTCCCTGCTGAAGCTTTCTTTGTGGACAGGCTCACCGTTTGAACAGAACTTGCCCTCTCCACCGACCCGAGCTTAGCAGTTGCCTTGTCCAACCTATCCAAACCCTTTACCTTCGCCTGCTGCTTAAGTCCACTGGCAAACTTCTCAAATGAAGTAGGCAATGAATAACAACTCGTTGGGGATGATGGTATTGATCTTGAATTGGAAGTCTTCAATTTCCCTAAAGATTCTTTCTTTTCCAATAAGTTCAAATTCAGCTTCGTTAACTGGGACTTAGATCGAACCAATCTAGGAGTTTTACTATCAATTTTCTCCTCTTTAGAGCTTGCATTTGATCTAATATTCGTAACTTTACTATCCCTTGTCCCAGTATTCTCATTGCTTGGTACCTTTGCAGGCAATTTTCCTTTATCCAGTGGCTTGGTACCAGAGGACACACTAGCATTATTACTGAGAAAACCTAAAGAATGAGTGGCAACTATATCCTCAGGGGTCCCTAAACAGGGATGCCTCCCTGGCACTAGCCTAACACCCCTAAGAATAGGCACGGGTGATGCTGCTTCAAGTCTCTCAACATGTAGAAATTGGCCCAATTGTATTTTATCACTAAGTATAAGATCATGTTGTTCATCAGGTAAAGATACATAAGTGGCATGTGAAGAATCAGATACCTTCAAATAGAACCCTTGATTTGGAAAGAGCTCTCCACCTGCTAGTGCAGGCACAATGCTCACCACTTGCAACAAAGATGACCTATGCTCCCCAGCAATCTTTACATCTGTATTCATATGCTGCAAAAGCTTCAAAAGCACTCCAGGAACTAAAGCAGCCATTTCTCGGAGCTCCAAAATGCATCACTTTGAAGGGATCCCGGATGGAGATATTCAAGACTCCCCCTGTATGAGAACCATAAATCTCATACAGGACTTGAAAGAGTTGTTCTTTCTACTAAAAATCCTAAACAGATGCGAAGAAGGGCTAGAGGGTCACGCCCAAAACCAATTTCAAGCTTCAGATCAGAACTTCAGATTGGCACGAAAAATTAAACAGATCAAAAGGGGTACTTCTTTGACACTAAGAACAAAGGCTTTACATTAAACAAAAAAAAAAGAAGAAGAATAAAGAGCTATTCCATATTCTTTGAGAACACTTTGCTAAAAGAAAAACCTAAATCAAAGAACTGAAAAGAATTAGTTCTGCGAAGAAAAAGAACACCAAAGATTTGAGCTTTAGGTAGCACCAAATAAATGGGTGACCCCAGGAATCGAAAGGAAGTTGGGACTGATGTCTGGTAATGAATGACGACCTGAAACTTCTGTTTTTTATTTATCTTTATGAAGTCGTACTTCTGTATAAGGTTTATTCTACAGTTTGTTTCTACGGGGTAGAAGTCGATTGAATACAGTAATGAATGATACTATCATAGTACTCAAGTTGCAATAATTATGGTAAAAAGGGTGTTGGCATTTGGCAAATCTGGCATTGATTACTCGTGGCAATATCCATTTTGGAAAAAGGCAACTTTTTGAGATGAATTATTGTTAGTGACAACCCAGTTGGAAAAGAAATTAACAAATGGAAGTTTTTAGGATAAACTGATAAAAGGAAAAGTTGTACAGTTTCTCCAAAATTCTGAGCTTCTGAACATGGGGTGTGTCCTAAAAAATAATGTTAAACAAGGAATGGAAGCAGGTGGACTATGATTGGTCTGCCAGATGATGAAGTGAACAACCCACTCTACTCATGATTGATACAAACATACATAATGATGATAAGAGTTCATCCTCTAATCATTTCTTAATTGACCCCAACACAAAAAGTATAACCAACACTATTATCATACTCCTACTTACTAACAAAGGTTTTGACAGTGGTTGAAAATATAGAAGGAGTAGTTGTCAAGGATTTAGATTTATAAAGTCAGTGGTTTGCTTTTCAAATCACTCCAAACCAAAATATAAGTTTCGATATCATTTCCTTTTACTAATCCCTACTTTTTTTTTCTTTTCATGTTTGCAAGGTCACCAATGTAAACAATACAGACTAATTACTCCCTCTAATTTTTGCTTTTCTTTTTCCTTCATAGTTTTCAAGGCACTTGGCAACAGTGAATTAGTAGAGTGAAACAAATGCCCAAATCAATTAAAATAACACCAAAATGGCTAATTAAAAGTAGATGAATCCCTCCACCAAGCAGCACATGTCTATTCATTTGACACTCACTATTGTACCATTCAATAACGTCATATAAATTTTGTCATTTGTGTTAATATTTACAATATTCACAATCTTTTACAAAATTATATATTTTAAAAGTAAGGATTTCAATTTTTTCGAGTTATGAGTTATTTATTTTAATTTTCATAGTTAAAAAATTTAATACAAATAGACAAATTTGTTAAATTTTAAATATTGATACAAAAAAATAAAGGGCGAACCACAAAACAGGTCATTTAGCTATTGGTTAATTCCCTCACAAGTCATCAATCAAATTTATTCCCAAAATAGCCACCATAGAATCCTAAAAATCCATCCGAGGTCATTTTATTAATTTTGACCGTTAAGTAGTGACGGAAATTCATTTTCACATGCTTTTGGATTTAGGGGTATTTTTGTCATTTTATATTTTTAAATTTCTTTTTACAATATTCTTCTTATACTTCTTAACTTCTATATGTTTGTGCTGTCATAATTACTAAAATTCAAAAAATTAATCTATATTTTTTATTTTAACTTTTAGATTATAATTTTTTTTTAAAAAAAAGGTAATAAAGAAAAAAAAGAGTTTAAATAAATATAAAAATTAATAGTTTATCATTTTAAATTTTAAAAAATAAAAAGAATCAGTTAAGAGAAATTATTTCTTTTAAGTTATTTAATTATTTTCAACTCGAATTTAATTATTAATTTTTGCGTTTATTTCAACTGAAATTTTACTTTTTTATTTTCAAAATTTTTTTATAATGTAGAAATTAAAATCCAAAAAGTAAATTAGTTTTTGAAATTTAATAATTATACTAATAGAATATATATATCTTTTTTAAAAAACCAGAGAAACTAATGAACTAGGTTTAGAAAGTCACAACACACAAAGAGGGTGTACTGTACAAATATATACAAGTTATAAGAAGAAAAAATTTGACAGAAAAAATAAAAAAATTAAAAAAATTAAGAAAAATACAAAATGATAAAATTACCCTTGGACCCAAAAACATGTGAAAAATACCTTTCCATAGCGATTTAATTCCCAAAATAACCTAGAAAAAATGACTTGTCTTAGTTGATTCTTCGAGTTTTCTTTTTGGGTGTAAATTAATTGATTCTTCGAGTTTTCTTTTTGGGTTTAAAATGGTTAACTATTAATTTTCTTATTCACTTCAACTGAAACTTTTCTTCTTCATTAATTTTATTTTTTTTAAAAAAAATTATAATCTATAAGTTAAAATACAAAAGATAAATTAATTGTGAAATTTAATAATTATACTAATACCAACATATTTTTAATTCACATTGAGTTTTAAGTTTTGTACTATTTTTAGTACAAATTTGAAAACTCAATGTGGATTATTTTTTAGGACGGAGGTAGTACAAGTTAATAAGTATGAGAAGGAGAGTAAAAAAAAAAAACTTAAAAAAATTTAAAAAATATAAAACGACGAAAATACTCGTAAACCCAAAAGCATGTGAAAAATGAATTTCTGTCACAACTTTCTTTTTTTTTTTTTTGGTGAAAAAAGTAAATATATATACATAGTCACTAAACAATGAGGCCCATAATACATGCTGGACCAGTTTCAATCTAACCATTACAAAGTTTTAGAGGTCATACAGAACCAACTACAAGTGACATTTTAGTAGTATCATCTTAATATATAAAACCAGGAAAGAACTGCTGCAAAATTTTTATCTCCAAGCTTGGGCACTTGTTTTTCTTCCAAAACTTGAACCTGATTTTCACTTCCTGTTGAATGAATCTGAGAATTTTCTCAGGGGCTTTATCCACCTAATCAAACAGTCTCTTATTCCTCTCATCCCACAGGTGATACAAGCATGCCACAAAAACTGCTATAAAGTTCCTTTTCTTTAACTTCCGTCCCTTCCATATATTCAGCCATTGATCCAGCCATCTCTGTCACAGCTGACTAATCCTTATGCATTTTAACCATCCACTTAGCAAATCCAACATTTTCTTGGCAAAGTTGCATGCAAAGTATAAGTGGTTCACTGTTTATTCTTTCTCCTTGCACAACAAACAATTTCTGTCAGACACATTCAAGTGCATGTTTGCTAATCTGTCTTTGGTGAGTAGTCTACCCTCCAAACTAACTATACCATAAAAGCATGTTTAGGTATATTATTACATGCCCAAATCCTCTAGTTACCTTAAGTTGCACTCCTCCACCAGTGAGCCAATGATAACCAGATGCTATAGTGTATTACCCATTACTTTTACCTTTCCATTTATGGCCTTCAAACCCTTCTTTTACATGATCCTGTACTTTCAGGAGCTGTTTCCACTGCCAACTAGAGTCTCCCTTTGGTTGTATTTCCTAGATATTAGACGGTTTGATGTACACTCCATGGATCAATCTCACCCATAGTGCTTCCTTGTGTTGAGTCAATTGTCGGACCTGCTTCGTCACAGCAACTAAAGTCCACCCATGGGCTTCTTTTTGCACACTTCTTCCTAGGTAACGAGAGACAGCATCCTACCTTCATATTTGCCACCCCACAAGAATTCTCGAGATATTCTATTCACCATAGTAGTAATGCTTTGAGGCAAAATCAACATGGAACCCCAGTGAGAATGCATCGACATTAAACATAATTTACTATGAGCAACCTACCAGCATAAGAGAGGTGTGTGGTGTTCCAACATTTTATTCTAGCAACTATCTTGTTTATAATGTCCTGACAACTACTTGTGACCACTGTTTTTGGGGAAAGAGATACACCAAGATAGGTCATTGGAAAGGTACCAGCAGAGAATCCGTTAAGTATGCAATATTCAGCTTGTTCATGTAACCCTTCACCCCCAATGTAGATTGAGGACTTCTAGATATTTGCAACTAGACCCGTAGTATTTGAGAACTCACTAAACACAGTCATAATGGTCCTAACTGTTGGCAGATCAGCTTTACAGAATACCATAAATTTGATGGCCTATATACAGAATAACTGTTGGCTTAGTATGGTCACCTATTTCGGGAATAAATTTGATTGATGATAGTTAAGTGACTTGTTTTGTGGTTCACTCAAAAATAAACTAACAATATGAAAATAACCTACATCGAAAATACACATTTATAATATCTTCTGAAACAGGTAAACTCAACAATTCTAGCACTTATTCCGAAAAATGATGTCCCACAGAATGCATCTGAATATAGGCCCATTGCTTGTTGCAATATGGTCTATAAATGCATTTTGAAAATTATTGGGAATAGATTAAAATCTGTTTTAGTTGGTCTTGTCGAAAAAATACAAAGTGCCTTTATAAGTAATAGATTAATACTTCTTAACATACTACTTACTCAGGGTTTGAATAGAATGAATGGAAGGAAAAACATCAGCGGTACGTGTATGTTAAAGATAGATTTGAGAAAAGCATATTCTGTTGAGTGCTGCTTCATAGAAGAGATGTTAGATGGATATAGATTTCCTAAATCTTCTTCTCAAAAAGTGCTAGAATGTGTTAGTACTCGTTCTTTTTCCCTGTCATTGAATAGTGAAAATTGTAGGTTTTTTCGGGGTAAGAGGGGTTTGAGACAAGGAGACCCCATGTCTCCATTGTTGTTTGTGCTTGTCATGGAATACCTCACAAGGTTACTGTCAGAAGCTGCGGAGGACAAAATATTTAAGTTCCATCCAGAATTTAAAGGGCTGAAACTAACAAACATGTGCTTTGCATTTGATCTTATGATCTTCTGCAAGGCTGACGTTTATATAGTCTCTAAAATCGTGGAAGTGTTGAAAAGATTCGCAGGAATAACTGGACTGGTAGCTAACACAGCCAAGTCTGAAATCTTTTTCGGAGAAATTGCAGAGGAAGTTAAGGCTCACCTGTGCAGTATCACAGGATTTAGAATGAAAAAATTTCCAATGAAGTATCTAGGAGTGCCCATATCCCTAAGGAAGTGGAACCAAGCAGATTATGAAGTTCTGATCCAAAAGATTACTGCTAAAATCAAATGCTAGATTACAAAGCATCTCAGTTACACATGAAGGTTACAGTTAGTCAACTCTGTGTTGTTAGCTATGAATAACTTTTGGGCTTCTGTATTTTTATTACCACATAGTGTAACTCAACAGATAAATAGAATATGTGAATGCTTCTCGTGGGATATCAAAGAAAATTGAAGCATCTTGCCTCTAGTAAACTGGGAACAAGTATGTAGGAGGAAGAAAGACGGAGGATTGAGCACTAGAGATGTTCAGATTTGGAATGACGCTGCTATAATCAAGCATGGTGGATTGCAGCCAAGTAAGACAACTTGTCGATCAAATGGATCCATGAGCATTATATAGAGAAGCAAGATTTCTAGCAAATCCAGGCTGAAAAAGCTCCAGCTAGCATTGGAAATGGATTCTGAATGTGAAGGATAGCATTAAAAATGAATTTGATGGGGTGAAATGAAAGCATACTGGCTCTGGTAAATTCACTCTCACTTCTGGCTATAACTGGTTGATTGGTAGTATAGAGGAATTGCTTGTTGCTGCCTTTATTTGGGCAAGATATAATGTGCCAAAGCATTCTTTTATCCTATGGTTGTTTTGGCATAATAGATTGCTCACTAAGGATAGACTCTGTAAAATGAATTTGTGGACAGATATTTTAGAA